CGCCACAAAACAAAAACCTCTAATAAAAAAAAAAAAAAAAAACAGACTAGAAAGGCTAGGGGCCTCCAGGCAACCGCAATCTGGGAATTACCCTCAGCTGTCAGGCCCCATGGCAGGGGGCAGGAAGGGGGCAGCCACCATCCAGGGGCATCCAGTGAGTAGTCAAGGTCTGTTAGGGCCTCCTGGCCCTAATTCTGAAGGCCACCTAGTTTCAGCATTCCCTGTGGGGTGGCTGAGGCCTTTGAGATGTCCCACAGCTCAGCTTTCCTTCTGCCCAGACCTGCTTCCAAGGGTGTTGATCTGAAGAACGCTCCTCAATAGACTTCCTGCTTGCTCCCCAGGGACCCCAACTTGGAGCACCATTGGAGCTGAAGACAACCTAGGATGATGGCCTGCACAAGCATGCCTTTGTGTGGGGCAGTGACGCGGAACTGCGGGCACAGGCTGGCTGTGAGTACACAGGTGGACGAGCTTTGTTTAGTCTGTCTGCCAGAGCAGCTACTTCTCACCCACCCGCCTCTTACTAACCAGGGCCTGCAAATTAAAGCAGGTGAACAATGGCTCTCCCAGCGGTGGAAGGTGCATTCAGAATCCACCTTTTTTTTAAAAGATGTTTGCCGTAGGACACCTGCACTGCCAGAGGGAGACAGAGTGACTGGGGAGAAGGAAAGTGAGAACTCACGCCCCCAAGGGGAATGGCCATGACAAAAGAAAAGTGAGAAATCACCCCTCCCCCCCACAGCCATGCTGGAATCCCTTCTCTTGCATTCTCCTCTCAGGATTTTGGGCACACACACACACATGTGCCCAACGTGTTTTTCAAGCTGCAGGGTCCAGACTTGAGCTGCAAAGTTGGCCATGTGGGATCCAGCCATCTTAACCACCATGCCACCAGCTGGTCTCAAATTCCACATTTAATTTTATTATTTTTAAAAAGAATTATTTATTGGAACCAGCAGTTGGCCTAATGGCCATGTCGCTAGACTCCCATGTGGTTGACCGAGGTCTGAATCCCGGACCCAGTGACTAGAACTCATGTTGGGAGTGTGTGCTTGCGTGCCCAAGATCCCGAGAGAATGGAGGAGAAGGGATTGCTGCGTGGCCATCCCCCTGGGGGGTGATTTCTCACTTTCTCTCTCTCTCTGTCTTTCTGGTGAGCACACACGCCCTATAGCAAAAACCTCTGCAAAAAAGAATTTTAAATTTAATTTTATTTATCATTATGATTATTTTTGCTACAGGGAACTCATGTTCACCAGAGAGACAGAAGGAAAGTCCGGGATTCAAACCACAGTCAGCCTTAGCCACCACGCCACCTGTTGGCCCCAGAATCCACTGTTTTTATTTTGACAGATTTTTGCTATAGGGCTCATGCACTTGCTAGAGAGAGAGACAGAAAGCGAGAAATCACTCCCTCGGGGGATGGCCATGCTGCAATTCCTTCTCCTCCAAAGGGGTCGGACCTGGCCGGGTGGGCCTTCAAAGGGGCCTGACCTGGCGGTCTCTGGGAAGAGCTTTGGGATTTGGGGCACCGTACACACACACACACACACACACACACACACACACACACACAGCGTGTTTCAAGCCGCTGAGTCTGGGACTCGAACCACAGTCAACCATCCACGACGCAATGTGCTGGCCGCCAGAATCCACAAGCGCAAAAGCTCTGGAACAGGGGCTGGGATGGGGT